CATCTGAATAAATGCAGCTGTCTGTAATGGCTCCATCAGGCTCAGCTGCATCTCACGGCCGTGAGCAAGACTTGAACAATTGATGTGCCAATTCCAAGTTTGAAAAAAATTGTTAATAAGCACGAGATTGATCTCCCGATGAAAAGGCACTGAATAAATACATGTATTACATTACTTTTTGAGGGTGTTGTTTTCTGGCTCCGTCAGAAATACACTGACTGTAACCTCCACTGTGTATGTGCTGTCGCCAGACTACTTCACTGATCACCTGTCCGATGCTTTGACCGCAGCCACTCTTGACCCTTTCCTGCTCAACCGGCAGTCAATGTATAAAACAGTCAATAAAGTAGGCTTTTCAAACGGAGTAAATTATTGCAACCACAAAACATAATTGAGCATACTGAGAACAAAACACAACTCCAAATGTCTAACCTTGGTACAATTCCTGTCATATGAAAGGCACTTGCACAAACGCAAGTTTTCAGATCATGGTTGCCCACAATATGGTTTTGCACACGTCTCACCATGATGAAATCTCATCACTAAACTGCAGTACAGCTGCTGTAAGTGGCAGTCTGAGCGAGACGAAGCGTCTCTCTTTGTCTGTTTGATTTGAAGTTAATAGAAAGTCCCTGAGTGATGAGGACATTGGAGCACGCTATTCAGAGCTCAAAGAGCAGCTGGGGTCGTATGGTGCATTAACTTTAAGAGCTGGTGCTTATACTTTGTGCAATGTGATTATGGTTTCATGCTTTCAAATATATATGTATATAGTTTCAAGTGTAATCTCTGCCAGACAGAAACTTACATAAAAAAATGCTGTAAAGTTCTGTGGCCTTTGGCCGTGATAGACATTAAGTTAGTCTTGACTTATTCAACTTGTTTTTAATTGTACTTGTGGAACTAATTGTCTGAAGACTTTCCTCATCAAAGACATATTCAGTTAACAGAAGGTTAATGCTGTAATGGGGTGAGACTTGTATTCGTCTTTGTGTGTGTGTGCACATGTTTTCACTTGTACTTGTAAAGGTAGGAACATAACTTCTCGTATCTTGGGCTTGCTATTCACGGAGCAGATCCTCGAAAGGTAAACAATGTGATAAAAGGGCCATGACTTGTGTTTTGGTATAAGTATGATTTTAGATGAGGTTAACTTGGGGTTAAGCATGCAGTGGTTGGGTGTAGAGTCTGACTTAGGAATGTGGAGGCCTAAGTGTAAAGACAATTTACTTGTAGATAATAAAATCAAGTAGGTGCGTGTTAATTTTGAGTTGATATCACTCATTTCTGAGGGCTCCTGTGACGTGGGTAGGGAAGACAGCATGTGAAGCTGATGTGCGTCTCATGCAATGTTTGGGAGTCATGCAATGCACGTGCATCTCTACGAATGTTGGCTTTTCTCTGAGGCCACACACACACATACACACACAAATATCATGCGTTTCTGTGTTAATCCCTCTGTGCGTGCTGGTTGAATTCCACAGAGGTAAATTAGAGATAATCAGAGGGAGCCACTGTTCTGCCAGTGAGCAAACTCCACTCATTTGTTATCACTGAACTCTTCCCTTTGTCTTCTTCTCAGCCTCCTTTTGCTTCTCTTGATTTTCAACCTTTGTGTCTGTGCGTGTGTGTATATGTGTTTGTTTCTGGGAGGGTGGCCGCGAGTAGCAAAATATGAATATATTGTGTTGACAGTAGTAGCCTTGAAGGTTTTTTTAGAACAACTCGCAACTTATTTTCTCGACAAGACAACTGCTTGAAAAAACGCGCAAAACAAAGTTGTTAGTTCGGAGTTCAGCATGATATCTCACTCTGTTGCTCCTTTAAACTCCTGCATTTCCCCACGTGGATGAATAAAGGTCCATCTTAACTAATCTTATCTTTCATCTTTGAATGCATTTAAGGTCACAGATTGGATGATAAACATTGTATTACACTGTATAATTGAACAAACAAAGCTCACAGACTTGCAGCCCTGAAGCATGATGGAGGTGGACTTTAAAAATAGTTTATTGGGGCACTCCATGGCATAGAGGAACTATCAGAACCTTACTATGATGATGTCCTGGAGGCTGGAGATTAACCCAAACCACAAAGGGTTTTCTTCACCTCTTTGACTAACCTGTGCTCTTTCGTCTACATATTTTTCTTCCATTCTCTTCTCGCAGTTTTTAAAAGTCATCCTACAGTGTGATGCAAGAACAAAAAAGTTGATCCACTTCCGCATGGATTGAGGATCATAACCTTGTTTAGGGTTTTTTGTTAGCTGGGTTCAAGTATTAGCACAGATGACAGTGTTTGTGGAAAACTGGTGAGGGATTCGGACTTAGTCGCCTAACTAGCATTGACTATTGGTCTGTAAGGTCACCTGTATTGAAAGCAGAGTTGACAAACAGGGAATAGTGAGAATCTCCATTTTTAATTGAAGCCATGATAACCTGTAAAGTCCTGCCTCATAGTGTCCTGTCATACCAACACAGGCCTTCTCATCTATCAATCAATCAACAACGTTATTAATCCTGCAAGGGGCAATTGGTTATGAGCAGCTTATGTCATGTACACAGTCGTGAACAAACAGGAAGAAAACACACAGATACACCGGGGAGCAGAGACAGGGCCGGACTGGGACAATAAGTCAGGCCGGGAATTATACACCCAGCTAGGCCACTACCAGTTTTTTGTGCCATTTTGCTGGATCTATTTGTCCATTGTTACAGCGTTGCTGCCCATAGTGATAGCCCTCTAAATCTACCCAAAAATAAACATATGGACATGGGTTACTATTTTTAAAAAATGTGCAAATCTATTTAGGAACCTATGTGAACATATTTTAAGTGGGGGTGTACCTCAAATCCTATAGGGGGGTCCGGGGGCATGCTGTTGGATTTAAATGCATCAATCTGGTGCATTTTGAGGGGGAAATAAAGAGACTACACCCATATGAAACATAACTGTATACATTTAAATAATCATAAAATCATAAAAACATGGCCATAACCAATAACATACCATATCCAATATGAAAAAACATTGAAACTTGTTTATTTATTTGTTTTTGGTTCATTTTGGGGCGGTTTTGGCGCAGTGGTTAGAGCGTTGGTCATCAGATCAACTCCAGTTCGAATCCCGCCTCGGCCGCCACTGCGACACTTTATCCGCATTTGCTCCTGTGGGTAATGTCCACAGTAATTACTCTTACATGTCTAATATGTGTAATGTGTACTTGTAAAGCGCTTTGAGCACCTGTAAAAGCGCTCTAATAAAAAATGTAATGCATTATTATTATTATTATTATTATTATTATTTATAGTTGTGAGTGTGTCTGTGCTCCTGAACCAGCCTCACCTGTCTCCCTGCTCTCCCCCCTGCTCCTCTTTGAGGCAGAAGCAAAGACTAGTTTTAGCTCTCAACAAGTTTTAATAGTTTATCTTACCTTTTTTCACCTAGTTAACGTTTTTTTCCATTATCATTCATGCATATTTTATTAATCACTCCCCCCTCAAATGGAAATATGTGTTTACATAAATGGTGACCAAACCGTTTGAGACCCACTGAGATAACTTAGACTAAGTTAACTATCTAAACACTCAAAGAGTAATTTAACTCACCTGAGCTGTAGTTATCAGTCTCTCAGTCTGACAGGAGAGGACTCTCCTCCACCTTGTTGTTGAAAAAGCTCCTTATATCCGTTAGCGCAGCTAGCTAACACCAGATGCTAACAACAACAATACACGTAACCGGCGCGCACGCTTTATCTCTGAGAAGGTCCTCGCTGCGGAACGCGGAATGGGGCGGGGTCGGATAAAAGGCGGATGTTGGATGTCCGACCCCGCCCAGAGAAGAGTTACGACATCTCCGTTCACTCCAATGGACCAGTTTTTTACAGCAATGGCGGATCGTGGAGCCTCTCAATAGTTCCCCGGAAGTTAGCTTGCTGCTAATTGCGGCTAGCAGCGCAGTAGAGTTGTAGCATAATAGACCGTTCGTGATGGACTTTTAAAGGTAAGAAGACGTTTAAAGATTTATATTGCGGATATTATCAGAACATCTGAATCAAATTAACTACACATGTGTATTAAAGGATGTTAGTGGATTATCCCTTCAATCAGTATATTTAACGTTTACAGATAACAGATTAGGCTAGGATGCCGGATAAAGTTAGCAACACACGTTAACCACGAACAGCCTATTAATCCGTTCTCCTCATGTTATTTCCTCCAACGTTGTGGAATTAGAGAAAAGGGGCTTCTTACCATGCTTTTATCCGGGGTGGAGGGAGTTACATATTAGTTAAATATAACATTGGGGCGTGTGATTGTAGTGGGTGGCGGTGGTGAAATGAGGATATCCATTTTGGAGTTCAAGCTAGTATAATATAGTTAACGTTACACAATAATAAAGAAGAGAGCTATTTTTGTGATACATCGCTATTGATATGGATTTAGAGTGCATATTTGAGACTTCTAAACAGTAAACAAAAACATAACTTATGGGTGAGTGTTTTTAGCAGTCATATTATGTCTTTGTGATTCTGTTGATTATTACCTGTCTGTATTATGTTGCAGCTCAGCTGATTTTGGATTGATGGCAAAGGGAGAGGGACTTAAGTGAGTGAAAACACAAGGTACGTTTCAAATAGGTCAGCAATTTCCCATCCTCTAGGTTGCTAGATGTATCTAACCCTTTCTCCTGTCTCCCTCTTTCAGCACAAGAACCCCAGGGGGATTCAATGGAGCCTGAAGACCTGCAATGAGACCCTCACCCTGAGCCTGAGTCTCAACTCCCAGAGCTTTGCAAGCCTCTCCCTGTTCCTTATTTTTGATTAAACAGACGTTAAGCTTCCCAATGGTGTGGTCTTCGTTTTGTGAAAAATATGATTACCTCACATATGTTGTTGCTGTTGTTGTCTTTTGTGATAGTTAAATTGCTCCTGCTGACTTGAGCCAGACATTGTTTCCTCCTCTCTGTGTCAGTGGGGAAACCTTACATTCATACTCCTTTCTCTGAGCTTTCTCTGATTACTAATAATAGTAATAGTATTAATAATTGTAAATGGCCATTGGTCACACCACCAGTTTGTTTTACTGTAAACTTGGAGGAAGTTAGTAATTATGATGCACACTAATTGAGTTTGATTCCTGGATTCCTACACTGTGTGCGTGTGTTTATGTGTATATAATCTCACCTTCTTCATGAAATAGGGCATACCAAGACAACGGGCCTCCAACAACTGTGGGGTGTTTGTGCTCATGGTATGGCTCATCTGATGAATTTATCAATCTTTTCTTTACAGTTTTGCAATTAGTGTGTAATGTTTGTTTTACTCTTGAACAGTATGCCCTCTACTTTGTGATGGAGTCAGCTTTTGATTTCAGTGAGGTAGGCCACAGAGATACACTTTTGATCAGTCCTTGTGGTGTTCCCTTTTCATTTTAATATGCATCTTTTTTTGCACAGTTGGACATGGAGCATTTAAGGAGATGGTGGTGCATGCTACTCATTGACAACTTCCCCGTGACGTAAGTATTCTTACCGCGACACATTTTTTGCATGTGTTATCTTGAATCTTTTATTGTATTGTATTGACTTTGGATGGGTATGTAGACTGTAATTTACTACTTAAAATCTCCATGGATGTGCTCCACAGCCATACAGTTTGTTGCTTCCACCTCTTATTCAAGGGGGCAATGTGTCATGATGCAAGTACAACTGTTTTACCATGCAGTAGTAATTCCTTTTATCTGGTGTCTTCCAGAAAAAGGACCCACTGGCAAAGACGGCTGCAGAAATTCTTGTCAGCTCTGAAGAGGAGGATGGAGTACGTGATATGCTATCTGTTATACCTTACATGAAATTCACAGCACTTCCTTCTATTCTTCTGCAGCGACTGGTAAAAAATGGCTGAAAATATTTTGTACCACTGATTTAGATAGTGTTGCATGTGCAAGTTTGTGTGCGTCATAATTACACATTCAAAGCATCTTGTTGCAAATCAGCAGCAGCACTATAAGAATAGTAAATGTACAGTGTAGTAGCAATGCATAAACTATTTCTCTTCTTCCTGTAGGACAGCGTTTCTCAAAGTGTGGGGCGCGCCCCACTGGTGGGGCGCAGAGATGTGATATGTGGGTCGCGAAATACAAAATAAATTTTAAAAAAAAAGTTTAAATGATTTGTTGTGATCATATTCTAAAGATGTTTGGATTATTGAAAAGTATACAGCTCCCTTTCGTGTTGAGAGCTGTATCCATAAATTCATGTTGGGCTCAAAGTAGGGCTGCTCGATTATGGCAAAAATCATAATCTCGATTATTTGGGTCAATAATTGATATCACGATTATTAAAAACGATTAACCATTTACTTTGAAAACATCAATTTATTGAAGAAAATAATTTAAAAAGTATGTTTTTAACAGTTGATTACCCTGAACTTTAAGTATAACTCAATTTAAAAACCTATTTTTTTTTAAAAAATCGTTTTATTTCGATTATGTTTTCATAATCGTTGCAAGCCAAAATCGTAAATGCGATTTAAAATACGATTAATTGAGCAGCTCAAAGTGCACCAGATTGATGCATTTAACTTCAACATTTAAAAAAAAATCTTCCCCGGACCCTAGAGGATGTGACGTCCACCACCAAATAAAGCAGGTTAAAATAATGAAATTGCATACATGTTCTTTTAGTAAACACTGCAAAATCGTAAATGCGATTTAAAATACGATTAATTGAGCAGCCCTAGCTCAAAGTGCACCAGATTGATACATTTAACTTCAACATTTAAAAAAAAAATCTTCCCCAGACCCTAGAGGATGTGACGTCCACCACCAAATAAAGCAGGTTAAAATAATGAAATTGCATACATGTTCTTTAGTAAACACTGCAAACGGGTCCCACAGACCCAAACAGCACACAAAGGTTAAAGGTAGCATATAATAATGTTAAAATGTGCTAAATATATACACTGCAAAAAAACAAAAAAGGAGTAAAAGTAGCTCTTTTTTTCGTTTTAGTTTTTGAAAGTAGCTCTCATCCTAAAAAAGGTTGGAGACCCCTGTTATAGAACGATACATTTGACAATTTTAAGCTTGAAAAATTAAGCTTAAGAGGAACAGGTGGGGCTTGAAAAGGCCCACCTGTTCAAAGTGGGAAATGACAGAAAAAGTTTGAGAACCACTGCTGTAGGAGAAGCACCCCTTTATAAGTAGTGCTATGGCGGCATCTCAGTGGTGCTCTGCAAAGAATATGGGAGATAAAGTCATCCTGCCACAAATTCTTTCCATGGCCCCACTGGACAGAGAAGCAGCTCTCCATAACCTTGGTGAAGCCAGCAACCTGCGGGACGAAGACAGCTGGGAAGACAGGATGGACCCATTTATGTTCAGGTTCAAATTTGAGTCTGACTATTTAATGTTTTTTGAGCAGTGCATTGACAAAGAAAACCTTAAGGTTCATGCCTGTTTTGAAGAGCGCGGTTGAATGTTTGCATCAGCAAAGCCTTTCACTGTTGTATAGATTTTTTTTTTGTATACTTGGTTTGGTTTTTATATTTACTGTATTTGCTTTTTCGGTTCTGTTATCTTAATGATTGTTCTGTTATATGATAAATGTTGTAAATAATAAATGCTTTTTCTATCATTCTATGTAATGCAGTGCAATGTATAATTTGAAATATATGGAGATATGAGTATGCACAGAACTGACTAAATGAATAATCAATTAAAACAAATATTAAATAATATACTTAAATACACTAATATATCAATTAAAACAAATATTAAATAATGAACTTAAATACACTAATAGAAAATATGACTTTTTATACCACATATTTAAATACATTCATGCATTTAATTAGTATGACGTTTTTATATTTAGTTTTTTTATTATATTTAGTCGAGTGCAGATTTGTAAATACATTCATGCATTTAATTAGTATGAAGTTTTTATATTTAGCAGAGATGTGGATCATTCAAATTTACACGATAAATAGTTCCTAGCATCACAATAATAAATAAATAAATAAGTTAAAAAGCTAAACACAGTTCTACTTTTGTTGTTGACACAGCCTTACACACTCTCAATGAATTTTCTCACTGACTAATGAAAATAAATGTTTGGCATGTGAATCAGAGGCAATGCATGGTAGTCCACACGCTCCTCAGGCCAGCAGTGGAAGTCAGTCGTGTGTGGGGATAGTGGTAAATGCTTCTGTTTCTTACTTTCACTGTCCTGTTAGTGGGTATTACTTGCCCTTGAGCATGACACATAACCACAACTGTAAAATTATATGAATGGTTACAGTCAAAGCTTATGGTTATCCTCCCAGCTGAATCTGTGTGACGATGCACGATTGTAACAGGGTTTAGTGGTGATAAGACAAGCCAGTCAAAGCAGGGTAAATAGAGGTTAAAAATATCCCTGAGCACTCTTCTGCTCTGTCATTGCCTCCCCTTTTGAGTGATGGCAGGATATGCCATTCCTATCATTTTTTTGTCTGTCTTTTTTCCCGATCCCTTCAGCTATTTCATGAGAATATGTTAATTTCACATTCCAATTAGGAAGAAGTCACTCAAAGGAGGTGAGTCGAGGTTTAATGAGAAATAATTGAAAATGTTTCAGCTTTCTGCTGTTGCACGAAATTGAAGGGCAATAAGTCAGTGTTCAACCAAATTAATTTAATTAAACTTTGCTACAGTAAACAGTAATGGGAAGAGCTGAAGTATTCAAGATGAATGTTCCTTTTAAAGATGCCTTATTAGTTAACGTTAGGATTCTGAACAAGATCATATTACAGACAGTATGAAGTCTAAGAGTTTTGCCAACCCAGTCTCACAAAAAAACGTGTAATAACTACGTTGGTCCACAACGTAGGACGTAGTATTTCTACAAAAACGCCTCTGAAATTGTAAGATCCCTAAGTTTTTTTTCACCATGCATTCCAATGGCTGGCGTCTATGTCACGTGATCTTCACATTTCTCCCTGCAGAAGAAAAAAAAACATGGCCGAACTTTGTTTTATTCTCGGTGTAAAATGCCTATTTAAAGTTACTTTGTCCATTAAAATGCGTTTTGATGTCACTTGATGCGAGAAATATGAGTTGTTATTTCAGATTATGTGTGCAGTGGATGTACATGATCTTTAGTTTGCTAGTTATTACGAAGATTACTTCAGGAAATTGTGTCTATACAACGTTTTCATTGTTACCAAGGTGGTTGCTAGGGACGCTGCTATCGATATTATTTATGTTATGTTGTGTAACTGTTTAATGGTGTTATCTTTATTGCTACCCCCTTCCCCGTCAAAGTATAGTGTTGGCCCACAGCGCAAACGTATTAGTTTAACAAAATCCGCATCTAAAATGGTGGCATAGAAACGTTATTTTCCCCTGTGCAATTCCAGTCTCACATCTCACATCACATCTTCATTAACAAATACCGGAAACAGACCGAAAACACTTTATTCCGAGTGTGCTTGCTTTTTTCTTTGAAAGTAATCACATAACGGCATTGTAATACACGGTTCGGCTGCATTAAATGTTACATATCTGCTGTAGTTCTCTATTTATAGAGCCTTGATGAGAAGACTTCTAGACAAACATGAGGAACTGCCGCCAACACTGGAAACGTGACGTGGATCATAAATATATCAACAATTAAACAACATCTTACATTTCTTTTCACACAATACGTCTCCTTGCAGTATCAACACTAATTCGGCTGACTTTTATATTTGATCCAATTGGTAGATAGGCTGTATTTACACCATACACGTGCACACCTGATATAAAGGGGCACCTAGTGGTTAAAGCATGTTATTGAATTTCATTATTTTTATTATTAGATATTAATAGGATCCCTATAAAGTATGTTCATTACTCGTTATTCTCTACTAATAGTTAATTAAAGACTGTATATAATGACTATTTTGCACATCCCTTTCAAGATTTCAAGATTTTCTAAGGTTTATTGACATATCATATTTACAAACGGTGTAGTTATGCAATGAATGTAAAACTTTGTGTATACCTCCAGCAATGTTAACTATGTTGAAGCACTTATTTTAACTGATATTATACATATGTATTATACTCTTATAAGATGTATGTATATAGTATAAGAAATGTGCAGAATATGACAGTTTAATGGTGGAGGTATACACACATATTGATAGATGTCTTGTAGGTATACACACATATTGATAGATGCACTGTTGAGGAACCTGTGACCCAAGTTTTTCATCTCCGGCCTTGTCAGGTATTGAACAATCAATAAATAAAGAACACAGAATTATTAAATATAAAACACAGAATTTGTGTGATTATACTAAATGATTTACAAATAAACACCACTGCATATTTACAACTGTTACACATGCTGATGTAACGCAAATGTTTCCAACTTGGGATCAATAAAGTATATCTTATCTTAAGATGATCGATGGCTACTGCCATATTTGCAAAATTTGCCTCTGAACCTTGACAAGTGCATGTTTCAGGCTTATCAATTAACAACAGGAGGGGTCACAGACATAAGACCAGCTGTTAAGTAAAGCTCTTCTGACCTTAGCTGTCGTGTGGGTAGGTATATATTAATGCTGCCCATTATGGGCACAAGCAATTTTCACCCATTTATTAATTAATGTTTTAAATTTGAGTGTTTCCTATCCCCTAAACCTCCAGGGATGTACACAGTTTAATACTGGCAACTTCTTATTATGGGAAATATGAAAAGGTCTTTTAAAACTACAATTCCCAGTAGAGACGTGCCATAGATAGAGAACATGTTGCGAAACACAATAGCCAGCATGTGTAGTTCTGGGGACGGGGTGGGGGAGGGGGGATGCGGTGGACCCGTTCAAATCCAGTTTTGGACAGTCTGCCGTGGTTCCATCCCATTTCAAGTGCTGTTCGACGCTCGGCGTAACCCTCGGAGCACACTCTCCAATCACAGAGCTTGAGGACTATCACGGGGTTTGTCAAGCGAAGCGGAGAGAATACTTACTTCCGGGTGTAATATTCTGTAAAGCAAATGAGCTGCTCCGACCCTCGGTCCTGACGGACTCCAACTTGTGTTTATTAATCAAACAAATAAATAAACACAAGGATAATTATGTGTTATTGTTGAGTAAATGGAGAATGGCACAGGGGAAAATAACCAGTGACTTGCGGTGAGGTTCGTGGCTGGTGAGGCACTGACTCTTTCAGAGTCAGATTTACAAATATTATATTTTGATCTTAATTGAAATGTTCGGTTATTTTCAAAAGCTTTTTTAGTCTGATGCTTCGATTCATTTTAAACAGACTGTTCAACAAAAGGATACCCAAAATCTAAATATTGGATTGTTCTTTCTTAGTAAGATCCCATGTTCATTACAATTGTGGTCTTACCTTGACTTGAAGATGAAGTCCATGCTATCCTTCTGGACAACAATCTCCATTACATTTTTGTAAAAGTCCTCCTTATCTTCCTCTAGTTTCAAAAGTCTAGCTTGTTGTTTGCGTCAGCGTAGAATAACAGTAGCAACAAGAACCTGTGGGCTCACGTGCGCCCCCTTCGGTGCAGCAGAGGTTATGGCTGCCTCTCCTGGTGCTTTTTTCATTGCCGTTGTATGATGAGACCAGCGGGCCTAAATATCATATACGTGAAATAAGTTATTTAGAGACTATGGATGGCGAGAATAAATGTAATAAAGGGATCTACAAACATTACATTGGTGACATACAGTGAGATGGTGCAGGCATGCGCTTTCCAGCCAGTTTCTGTGGAGTGATGCATTCTGAGGTGAGGCAGAGCTCATCTGTGCCTCACCTCACCACACAGTAACTGGCTTGAGCGCGCTCACAAAATAAGTGCCCGCGCTACATTAGTGCCCGCGCTCCAGCCAGTTACTGTGGGCTTACGTGAGGCAGAGCTCGTCCCTGCCTCACTCCTCATCGCTCCCATGTAGGAGTTGTAGCGGAGCTTGGCCAATTTTCTGATTTTGACTATAAAAAGCGATTGGAATCATACAGAAATCACACTTCCAACACAGATCAGTGGAGATATGTTATTATTATTATTACTATTTAGTTTTTCTTTAGTTGTTTTTCCGTGACATTGGAGTATGACAGCCAGTCAGGTGAGGCTCTGCCTCCCCTGACTGCACGTCACTGAAAATAACATATCTATTGTGGTGATTGACATTATTCACCCACGGATCTATGGGTTAGGGTATTGTTCTGCACGGACATTTTAGTGAGCCGGGCTTCCTGTCTCCGCCGGTCTTCGCTTCCCGGGCATGAAGCTGTTTACATGTGTTTTGAGATGCTAAATAAAGTCTAGCTTGTACCTTTGATATCCCGCCTCCGACTCCCATCTCTCGGCACCACACTATGCCACAATTTTAGATGCGGATTTTGTTAAACTAATACGTTTGCACTGTGGACCAACACTATACATTGACGGGGAAGGGGGTAGCAATAAAGATAACACCATTTTACACAACATAACAGAAATAATATCGATAGCAGCGTCCCTAGCAACCACGTTGGTAACAATGAAAACGTTGTATAGAGACAATTTCCTGAAGTAATCTTCGTAATAACTATCAAACTAAAGATCATGTACATCCACTGCACACATAATCTGAAATAACAACTCATA